TTATTATTATTATTATCATTATTATTATCATTATTATCATTATTATCATTATTATTATTATTATTGTTGTTATGGGACAGATTTAGCAGCAGTGACGTCACATCCCCTCGCGCCCCTATAATAAATCCACGTCCAGGACACATGATGGACACGCCCCCTAAGTGGCAGCTCTCCAAGGCGCATGCGCAGATCTCCGGCAGGCTCCACGAGTTTGTCTCCAGCGTTTCTCTCGGACTCGGTCTGTGATGCCGACAACCGACCGAGCTCCAGCCCAGCGTCACGCATTCAGCCATGGTCGCCGCGGATAATCTGCGGACCTGAGCGGGAACGTCCCCGGTGCTCCGACGCGGAGCAGCAGCAGGAGGGGGGAGGGTGGGGGGGATATGTGACATGTCGCTGCGGGGTTTGTCGGCACTTCCAGGCGGCGACTGACACACCGAGCCAGGCTAGCTCGGCTAACTAGCAGCTCGGCTAGCTAGCGTTAGCCGGCTGAGTGTTGTGATTTTGGACGCAGCGTTGATCACGTGTGTGTGTTTGTTTATTAATCTGCTGTTTCATCATCTGTGGTTCAGCTTCACAGCAGCCTGTTGTTGTTGTTGTTGTTGTTGTTGTTGTTGTTGTGATCGGACAGGCCGGTGCAGCGCTGCAGCTTAAGCTAGCTGCTTGTATGCGCCGCACGCTCCCTTGTTAGCTCGTTATCCCCCCCTCGTCGGTTCTCGGTTTGACAGCGGTCACGTTCACCGGAGTCGGTGAAGCCGGTGCCGACATGCGGCGCTGACACGTCCGTTGGCCGGGAGCAACACGCAGCACCGCAGCCGTCATAGTGGTTTTTTACAGCGTCGTGGCTGACATGGCAGCCAGCGGATACTCCGACCTGAGGGAGAAGCTCAAATCCATGACTCCGCACAGGGACGAGTCCAAAAATAAATACGCGGACGGGACGAGCAACGGCAGCGGGAAAGGGCGGAAGCGCGAGTACCGGGAGTCCGACGGCGACGAGTGCGAGCACAGCGAGGACAGCGCGGAGCTCCGGGAGCAGGAGGCCCACCGGGTGAGGAGCAGCATCCTGCAGGAGAGCGTCTTCACCCCGGAGGAGTGCGCCCTCATCGAGGAGAAGATCGACGAGGTGGTGGCCAAAGGGGAGGCCGGGCTCTACCGGGAGCACACCGTGGACAGGGCGCCCCTCCGCAACAAGTACTTCTTCGGGGAGGGCTACACGTACGGGGCCCAGCTGGAGAAGCGTGGACCGGGCCAGGAGAGGCTGTACCGCAAAGGAGAGGTGGACGACATCCCCAGCTGGGTGCACGAGCTGGTGATCAAGCGGCTGGTGTCCAACGGAGTGATCCCGGAAGGGTTCGTCAACAGTGCCGTCATCAACGATTATCAGCCCGGTGGGTGCATCGTGTCCCACGTGGATCCCCTGCACATCTTCGCCCGGCCCATCGTCTCGGTGTCCTTCTTCAGTGACAGCGCTCTGTGCTTCGGCTGCCGCTTCCAGTTCAAACCCATCCGGGTGTCAGAGCCGGTGTTCGTCCTGCCGGTGAGGAGAGGCAGCGTCACGGTGCTCAGGTGACTCACTCCGGACTGTGTGCTGTCGTGGGTTCGATCCCCGTTGGTTCTGTAAGCTGCTCAGGCCTCAAGTTGTTGATGTCACTAAAAAAAAAGCTGTGTCTCGTTCTCAGTGGCTACGCTGCGGACGACATCACCCATTGCATCCGGCCCCAGGACATCAAGGAGCGGCGGGCAGTCATCATCCTTAGAAAGTGAGTCAGCAAACTTGTATATACCGACAATATGGTTGTTTTATGACACAGGTCTAATCTGATCCATGTGCCTCCTCCTCCTCCTCCTCTGTTTTGCCAGGACCAGACCTGATGCTCCTCGACTGGACTCTGAAAGCCCTTTAAGTTCGTCCCCTGCAGAGAGACCCGCTCCTCTGAAGGCCAAACGCTCTCATCGCAGAGCAGACCCTGATGCTGCACACAGGTATTCAGATAAGTCCGAAATCTGTTAAATACGAATGGAGACAGGAAACCAGGACTAAAGACAGCATATGTTACTCATTGAAGTGGGAACTGACAAGGTTTTGTTTGCTTTAACTTATCATTATAAAGTCTATGTTGATTGCACATTGTAATGGATATTCAGTCACGAACCTAGTCTGTAAATAAAGATGGACAACACGCCTCCACTTCCTCCCACTGCACGCTGCTATCACCTGGAGTCAGATTCACCCCGTTTTTTTTAATATAATATAATCAAATATAATCAAACCAAAGTTAAATTTGTTCCTTGTCCCGTCCACTAACATGGAGGAGGTTGTACACTTGTCTTCACCTTTGGGGAGCTGTCATGTGGTCCGTCTTTATATTCAGTCCGTTATCATGACGTCATCAGAGTTTGGATTGGTTCCTTATCAGCCCTAATTTCACAAAGCAATTTTGTCAAAGACACAAAATAGTGCGGCACTAGTAAGGTATCAATTTACAGCACAGAAGAAGAGCATCGTCTGCTAATGTGGAACCAGAACAGGAGGATGATAGCCGAGAAAGAAAACTAGCGAGGAGGTAAAGACAGAGAGTGATAGAATCGGAGGTAAAACATGAATGAACCTGAGACAGACCGTCCCTGGATAGAGACTGAAATTCAGTCCTGGACTCAACCACTGGGACCGGCCTGCAGCGTGAATGGAGTGAGAAGTTAATGGATTTTTTTTTACGGTTCAACGATGCGGCAGATTAGTCGGGGTTGTCCCGACGGCCAGTCAGCCAAAAGCGGTCCCAGACTTTTGAACTCGGCTGTGTATTTATATCACAACTCGTCTTCAGACTGTTTTTCTGTGTGTGGCTCTTAAAGGTGATGAACTCCAACAGAGAAGTTCAAATTAATACAAGCAAAACAAAAATAAGTCCACGTGTGAAAAATGGTCCAAATCTGACTTGACGTCTCTCTCTCTCTCTACCTCTACCTCTCTCTCTCTCTCTCTCTCCACCAGGCCGAGGGTCCTGGAGATGGATAAAGAGGAGAACAGACACCCGTCACTCTCCCGACAGCGGCGTCGCAGCGGCAGCTCAGAGAACTACTGGAGGCGTGGTCAGGACTACGACAAACACCGGGAGAGTTCAGGACGCAAAGTCAAAATGAGACGTCACTGAGCTCTCATCACTCACACACGTACACAATTAAAATATTATCGTTTCTTCTGTGTATTTTAGTCCCGTAACTTGATTTGATCGGACATCGTTTTTTCCTCTCGCTCCAGTTTTAGTCTGGCACAAGGAGCACAGTCATCACACCGTCTGCATTTTGGTTTTGATTCTGGATCAGTTTGAGTGTATATTTGTTTCCTGGCAGACGAAGCTGGCGTCTCTGCCGCACATTAGAGAACCTCATGTTACTTACTACAGCTCGACTCTGTTGTCAAACTGTTCGATTACCTTTAAATCAAACATTTATTTTGTTTCTATGTGCATAGATACGAAATGGCATGTATTTTTTGTAACCAAGATGTACAGACCTTAAGAGTTAAAAGGAAGATGCACCTATGGACTTGTACAAAAGAAAACCTGAGCTGTAATCTAACTTGTTATAATGTACAATACATTTGTATAGTCTTTGAACGGGGGAACTTTTATGCAGAATGAAACTTCTTCTTTTTTTTTTTTATGTTGCACCTACATCTCTCATCCATACTTTTACTCTGCCATCCCACATCTCTCCTCTCTGTTAACTTTAGCCTCTGTCGCAGTTTAAGTTGCAGTAACTGTCAGGTTTCCTACCATGCTCTGTGTTTTTATTTGATTCAGCTGTGGCTCCTCTTCCTGATGGTCACAACACGGGATGTCAACTTAACTGATGCTTAATGGAGTGAGGAAATATACTCAGGCCTTGTTTTACACTCTAGATTCAGTCTGAGGTTGCAATTCCTTATATAGTGACAGATGCCATGTTATTGCTGTTCTCTATTAAATCTAACTTTTCCTCATTCTAGTTGGGTGATTATCTGAGCAAAGCCAACCGTCTTGTTTTTCTTGGGTTGAAATATTTGGCTAGTATCTTCATGAATCAGTCATGTTTTGTTTGTTTTATAAATTAGTTTCCTGCTCAGTCAGCCATATTTCCAGAGCTACTAATTAGCCGACTGGTTAGTCTGGAGTTACACATGAATAAAAATAGCTGCTGAGGAGAAATTACTTTCTACAAATAGGATGGCTGGCGTCCATGGTTTGTGAAGCGCCGCTATAGTTATGAAAGTAAGCTTTGTGGGCAGTGGCAGCACTTAAAGTGGTTTAATGAGTTTCAGTGGTGACAAAAATGATCAAAATAAAGCTGAAAATAGTTAATTTATCATTATTAAAGCACAGTTTTCCTAAAAAAAACAATCTGACTGTTAAATGATGAGGCATTGAAACAACACAGACCTGTGGTAGTTGACAGGATTCAAATTTACTCAATCATTGATGGAGCCGTTAATATTCTGAACACCATTGATTGCTGACAAAACAGTGGCTTCACATGATGAATTCACATAGTGATAATGATGCAGTGGCTATATACTCACGACCATAGACTGTATATAAAGATGGACGACATACTTCCTCACTCTATCCAGAAATGAAGTTAAGACTCATCTAAGAATTCCAGCTGAACACAAATCGTGCACATATTGGCAACAACCACAGTTTATACTTTATTGTCCCTGGCATGTGGGAGGGTTTCTGTCTGGTACTGGGTTCCCTTCATCTCTTAACAATATACAACAAATAAACAGAATCTGTTCACAGCTCAGTTTTCATGTTCGCCAACAGTTGAAATTTAACTTCATTGAGACTCACGGAGTCTGAATGTTTCGTCTTTGACAGCAGCTAACTGAGCAGCGTCAGATTTTCACCCACATGGAAGTTTGTTGATATAATGAATATCAGGTGCAGAATGTTCCATCCATGTGGGGTCATATTATTACCTGTTCTTTTTCTGTGTGTTGAGATTTTTGCAATCAAATGTATAAAGGGTTTGTACTTTTTGTCTTCTTTTTAAATATTTTCATTTTGCACAATCAGACATGAGAGTTTGCAAATTTAATTCATTAAGTTAAATGTAATATTTTTTACGATAAACACTGGTCAAAATGTAAACAAATATAAGGGAAAGAGGGATATAACTACTTCTTTTTAAGTTTTATGACATCATTTAGTTTGAGTCTGGAGTTAAAAGGGAATAAAATAAAATAAAAAACCTTAAGAATTTTGGCTTTAGCTTTAAGAGACTATTACAACATATCGGGTGCTGAATATGTAGGAAGAAAAATGTATTGATTAAAAGCAGCAAAAGTCCTGCTTCTTGTATTGGGGTTATTGGCAATGCTTTATTTTACAAGGGTTCAGTTTATTTCCTACTAATCTCCTGAAATGTTTCCTGGAAAGAAACCATTTAATTTAGTGTTGACATAAGTGATCAGTTGGTGCGTTTCCAGTTATTTGCCTAGCTCACGGGATTTATAGTCAGAGAAGAGGAGGTCGGTGGAACAAACACACAACTCAGCGTAAATGAGGAATAACATTTCCATTAATACGCGACTGAGTTGTAAATATTCTCTGGTGTTTAAATGGAATCAGGAATCCATCTTGAAATGAGCAATACAAATAATAAACGACTAAAGTTCGAGATTGTTTCCAGGAAACTTTGAACAATGGAATAAAAACATTATAGCAGCAGTTCCCGGGGTGGCCGCTAGGGTGGCGCTACTGCACTTTAACGTTGAGTGCCAGCCACTCAATACAAAGAGGAGGAAGAAGAAGAGCAGTTGATGGCTACCTGAGTTATTTTTAAACCGATGAGCGACGGACGCGTTGCGTCTTTATGGATGAGAACTTATTGAAGAACGCGTTTTAACAAACTGATGTTCTGGATCCGGGCGGGTTCTGTCCTCTCCTCGCTGAGTGGTGAGTATTTTTAACAGCAGCCCGTCGGCTAACGAGCTAGCTCCACTAACGCGCTGCGCTGGATGCTAACAGGAAGTGGCAGCTGCTCGTCTGCTCTTCGTGTTCGCAGCATTTTTAAAACCCGCACAGATTAGATTTCTGTGTTTGACGTGAATGTGCACGTGTCAGGGGTTTTAAACTGTGGCGTCACCGGCCTGTGTGGAAACACCGGAGCAGGCGTCAGCATCACAAGGAGAAGAGACAGCAGCTGAACGTTCAGATGAACCTGTGAAGCTGAGAAACACAGTGAGGAGGAGGAGGAGGACATGTTTTTAATGGTTTAATATGACATCATTATAAATATATATATATTCTTTGACTGCAGGGATGGTTCACCACTGTGCAGGTGGAGGAGTGGGTGACGTGTGTGAGTCCACAGAACACTTCTGGACTTTCAGGGGTTGAACAGTGTTGAAGCCAACTCCCAAACTTTAGAAGTAAATCAAACAGAAAGACAACACAACCTGCCTCCATTCTGCTCCTGTGGTGTCACCCTGGGGTCCAGAAGCCCTGACATTCAAGTCTGAAGCAGCTCTCACTGAGGAGAACTGCAGCAGCAACCAGGACATTCAAATTTGAATGTCGGGGCTTGTCGACACTTGGATGACACCACAGGAGCAGTACGGATACACGCTATGTTGTCTTTCTGTAGTTTTGTTACGTTTGAACAAGTGGTCACCGGTTGCTTCAATAGTTTAGGATTTGGCTGCAACGCTGTTTACCCCCGAAAGCTGCAGAAGTATTTTGTGGACCCACATATATCGATATAATGCTCATGCACTGTGCAGACGCTGTGCAGAAGATTATAACAAAGAAGAGTTAAAAACCACAACCTTCACTCAGGAGGCTTTAAAAACAAAAGAAATAGTAACGTTACTTTTATGGTGATGGATTATCATTATCATTATCGACTGATGCTTGATGAGGAAATCTTGATGCACGTAAAAGGAATACTACACATTTCCTTCAGCTTGTTGTGTTTTAAGTGAGCGTTGTACAATTAAACACGTTACATCACCATTGCAGAGACTTTAAACAACAAACAAATTATTGGTCATCGTGTTTTGTCATTGGCTCCATTATCTACAATCAGCTCAACCGTTGTATGGTAACATATGTCAACAGGACTAGTGTCCTTCGCCCTGTCCCTCACTTACATAATCACTACACCTACACTTTACTCTCCCACAGATTGTAATGTAGATAATCAGGTTGGTTAATAAATAAATATGAAGATGAAAATCAGTCAATGTAACATTATATATTTTTGAAACTCTTTATGGGCAGATAATGACAAACACTTGACAAACAGCTAAAGACTTTTACAAATCTGAGATAAATCAATGTGTTATTATTGCTCTATGAATCATTGTGGGGTGAGGATTGATTTAGTTTCATTGGGCAGTCCTTGTAACTAACATTAAACAGAGAAGTAAACTCTGCTCCGGTGGTGACCGTGCCGCCTCAGTACTCTACGTGCTGCAGACGTTAGTTGTGTTATAACCCGATGAGGAAGGTTGTCATAAATTCGAGCCGGCCTGTGTGACTCAGGCATGTATTGAGTCTATAAATAGTCCGTCTCCATTCTCGGGACCCTGGTGCTGTGACGAGGAGAGAGGACATGCATACTGTTGAAGTGGTTATTCCTGGGTCTCAGGTCCCAGGAGCTAAATGTTATGAGCTTCAAACACATGTTCAGTTTAGTGCAAAATAAAAAAACCAGCATATATCACACATACTCCTTTAATTCTGCCTGGGTCTGCTCCAGGAGTTCACTGTTTTCAATTTGTGTTTCCCCCTAAAGTTTTGAACAACGTTGCAGAGACATATTGCCTTATCGCCGGCCATCTGCTCAGACAGGTGTCTGTTCTAACTATAGACCTTTGCAAACACAGACATTTTGATTTCGCCCAGACACAAACTCCAAACTTTAATTAATAACCTTAACGATGGCTATGTTCCATGTGGCTGAGCGAGAAACACCGGAAACAGAAGCCATGACCATCGGTAATGCCGTTAATTACACCTGTGGGTTTACCCTGCTGTGCCGTCAGCGTATCTGCTTGGAGGAAAAAACGAACCACATTTTCAACTTGAACTTCTGCAACACGCTGCCAAGAGAAACATTCCACTGGCCCTTTTTTTTATCAGAGGAATGCATGTCTAATTATTCTGTGAGCGTCATGTTTTCAAAAACAAGATTTTATAATATGACCCCAGATGCACCGTGTGGAGAGTTCTCACCATCAAGTTCAAGTCAAATGTATTTATCTATTTAATCTAATAATCTCCTCATAGACATTCAGTTGAGTTAAGAGTTGGTGAAAATGAAGCATTACATTATTTTTTCCACTTTTGTCAAACTGCTCAGTGATCCCTCGTATAAAGGAATTTGCATTTGTCACATTATCTTGACTCATTTATCCAGATTTGTCCTTGAATTTGTCACCTGTCTGTGCATCTGTTAATATTATGCTGCTGCGAAAAACTGTATTTAATATTGAATATTTAAAATCGTCTCATGGTTTATTCTGCCCTCATAACATTAGTGCAGAAAAGCAGATGCAGGCCATGATATTAGAGATACAGAATGCAGCAGGTAGACTTTAATTCACCTCTACCTGACTGTCGTGTCTCGTCTAGTTTCTGCTCCCCTCAGTTTATGCATTCTCTCTTCCCAAGGGTAACCGCAAAGAAAGGAAGCAATGAACTTCCAGGGTAGTCGGAGGCGAGGAGAGGATGGCATTGCCATGGTGATCGACTTCCTGCTGTCCAATGCTCGACTGGTTCTGGGAGTTGGTGGAGCTGCCATGCTGGGAATCGCTACACTGGCGGTGAAACGGGTGAGAGTGTTTGAGGTTGTTAGGAGCACGTCTGGGTTATTCATATTCTTACGTCTTGGGTATATGATGAAAAGAAAAATCATCTGTATTTTGGACGAGACATGAATCATTACGACTCAGAAGAAAGTTGTTTTTCTTTATTGTTATTTTATATAATCAATCAATATTATATAGTGTATATATATATTTATGTTTTGTCTTCAATAGACCTTCACTATAATAATGAGACATACATCCTCCTCTGCCTCTGACACAGCAGCTCTTCACCTCTGACTATATGAAAAGATAAGGCTCATAAGTGAAGCCAAAGTGTCTCGATTGCCCCCTGGTGGCTGGCTGCAGTACATGTCATAAACACCAATCAAATGTATTTTTGTCAAGAAGGGTTTGATGTAGTTTTTAATCACGCTGATATTTGTTCAAGTCTTAATTTATCGGATAAGTTTGGTTTTAATTATTTATTTGACGCTAGAAAAACGAGATTAAACATCATAATTGACAGCTGAGACTGACTCATGATTGGTTGAGGTTGGTGCTGTGACCGTGTGCAACATGGCAGTGTGGGTATCCAGGATATTTGTGCTTCATATCTGGACAGTGGAGGCAACTGGAGACGTGTTGTCCATGTCTATACCGTTCTGTACATCTGTACAATATTTGACCTTTCAGAGTTTAGGTTTTGTTTTCATATTTTGTCAAATGAAAACTTCTAATTTTATTACTGAATCAAAAAAAAAAAAGTCCATTCTGGTCAGAGTATTGTAGTAAAATCAATGTGAAGCTCAACCTTTGTGTCTCGTGACATCAGTGTCAGCTGATGAATCAATCATTCTTGACAGACAACCAATGAAAACAGCCAAGTAATCGATCGTATCTAACTGTTGATTTTGTGTACAGAACAATATTAACTTTATTTTACATAGAAAATACATTTAAGAATATTCTCAGCAGTTAAAAATGTGAAGAAGTCAGACTGAAGTTCCATGAGGCTGAAGTTATCTGTGTGTGTGTGCTGTTCTCTATATTAGTGCAGTGCATTATCTCCGCGCTGTCGTGCATGACTGCCCTGATTGTGACGATGAGTGTTTGTGTTCAGCTGATAGAGCGCGCAGGCCGCGCGGCCGATGACGAGAAGGTGGAGCAGAAGATGGCCGAGAGCTGGGAGGAGCTGAGCTTGGTCTCGGCTTCACCCAAGCTCATCACGAAGGGCATCGAGGGCGTGGTGATGAAACACGTTGCCAAGGCAGCCAGCGAACAGCAGAAAGGTATCACAAATAAAGAGAGCTTCACATTTTATTATTCTCATCTTCATTGTGAGCCCTCTGATATTACTTGACAGCTGCTTTAACCTTTCTCCAACTCAGATGACCTGAACCAGCAGCCTCAGATGTCGTCTCTGGAGGAGTCCAAACCTGAGTCAAAGTCCAAGAGGCTCCAGCTGTGTGTCCTCACTCTGCAGGTACTCTGACATTTCAGCTCCGAGCTCCTGAAGAGACATATTATGCATTCAGTCCTAACAGCTGCTGTAACAGCCCAGCTCAGTGTTGGCTCATTCATTTATGCATGTGTAACATGTTTTTTAAAGCGCAGTGCTTAGGGGATGTGCATTGTTATTCACTGCTTAGGCTACACTGAGTCCCTAGAGCCCTGAATCATCAAAATACAATGTGAGCGTGTGCACTGACTATATGGAAGAAGTCAGACAACCATGAAACAGCTTTGTGTTCGTGTGCAGAACATCCACACAAGTTAGAGCTGCACTGGGTCGTTCTAAAATGGCAACATGAGTTCATTTGCTCAGTAAATGGTGGTAGAGCGGCTGCGAAAGCATAACTGGACATAAGAGGATAATTGAAACAATGTGATTTGCCTTTGAGTAAAACTGAAGCAAATTATTTTTTATGAACTGTTGCACATCATAGTTTCCTGTTTGGCATCTCTGGAACTAACCGCATAGTGAAGAACAGTTGAAACGAAGCAGGAAATTAGATTTTTCTTGGCGAAAACCTTTAGCGTTAACGTAAAGATCAGGATTGTCCCGGTCTCCACGTTAAAATGCAGCAATTCTGGTGTTTGAACAGTGACTGATTTGTTCTCTCAAGACCTGTCGTCATCTGAATCAGTGATTAACTGTGTGCAGGAGCGTCTGCAGCAGTACTACCACGCGAGGGCAGCACTCACTCCACATGAGGTCCACAGAGCTCAGTCTCTGGCCCTGGACATCTGCACTGAGATCCAGGGCTTCCTGCACAGCCGTCACCCCGACATGCCGTTGGGAGAAATGAATCTCGGAGGTTCTCTGCTGGACGACCTGCAGGTACAAACGTGAACAGGCTCACAAATGTGCTGCTTTTCTGACTGATGTAATTTTAAGCTTTGCACCTCAGTGATTTTCTTGTGCGAGTTGTGAAACGAATACGAGCTGAGTGTATTTGTGTGTGTGTGTGTGTGTGTGTTTAGGTGGTCACTGCAGACCATGCGTGTCTGCTGGTGCCGCTGCAGCTGGAAGCTTCTCTGTGGCGGCTCATCCCAGGAGAGGAAACTCTGCTCACACACCCGCTGCACTGGATGGTCCGCCGGGTTAATCTAGAATATTTCCCCAGAGGACGGAGCTACTGGGACAGGTGATCAATACTTTTACATTAACATAGAATCAAATCGATATTTTTTTTAAAAAATGACAGTGATGAAACCACAGAGATTTCATCAGACTTTGCTGCGCGCTGATTTAGTTTTAAATGATCAATGGAAGTGTCGGCTCATCTCTCACCCGGACCAAGGTTACAGGAATCGGTGTCGTGACAGATGACCTGCTGTCCGTCACCGACCGTGTTGTCAATCAGCCTAAACGAGCACGTGTCGCTATGCTGCCATGAAACCGAAACATCTGCGGGAAAATAAATAATTTCTCTAAAAACTTTCACTCCCCATGTCTTGTAGGTGCCTGGTGGGCGGTTACCTGTCGGCAGAAGCTGTTGTGAACATGTTTGGTAAAGCCGTCCTGGAAACTATCAACTGGCCGTCGATCAGCAGCGTGATGGACTGTCTCATCAGACCAGTCCCGGGAGGACCAGACCTGAGGCTGGAGATTCGGTGAGTGTGTCCTCTTGTGTATTGATCTGTGTTTAATGTTAATGCTTTAAGAGTCATCAGCACCAATAAAAGAGGCAAAGTATCACCGGTAAGAATCTGTGGTTGATGACGAGTAACAACCTTCACATTGTCTCTAATGGACAAATGTTTAAAGCCAAATTCTTTGAATAAGCTGAATATACAGGATGTTGAAACTAATTCTTTGTTTTTCTTTTTCATGGTGAGAAAATAAGGCAGTGCAGTGTGATGAAAGACAACTTGTCACAGTTACAGAGGCTTACAAGTAGAAAATCCATGTTTGTGATTTTTCCTTTCAAAGAAATCTTTCTGCTTTAATCCATTAGGCTTCGCAATGAGGAGGGACAAGAGACCAGTGATCCACCCTTGGTCATCTCCATGTTGCCTCTGCTGAGGCAGGAGGACGTTGTTCTGACTGCCCAGCCTGAGCTCACCTCTCCCTGGGTCAACGCCTGGCACCTGTCGCTCTACCCGTGGGAAACTCAGCGTCTGGCACAACTTGACGCCGCTGACGACGGACGCCGCAGACACACGCTTAAAATCCTGAAGGCGGTGTGCAGACTGAACCCCGCCCTGCGACCGCTCAAAGCTGCCCCGCTGGCCAACCTCATCCTGCACCTCAGTGACAGTGAAAGCGACTGGACGGAGAACAGCCTGGATGTTAGATTCCAGCAGTGCATCACAGAGCTGATCGGCTACCTCGAGCAAGGGGCGTTACACAGCTACTTCAAACCAGCTGTCAATCTGCTGGGCGGCTTGTCAGAGGACCAGGTGGACCAGATGGGCTTCATGCTCTACTGCGCCGTGTCAGAGCCTGAAATACTGCTCATATGACTCGTCACTGCACACACAACACTTCACCTCTCAAGCTCTGACACGCAGAGGTCAACAGTTCATCTTTCATCGTCCTTGACGTTCGGTTCAAGGCAAAGACATTTTATTCGCGCTTGCGATCTCCGCTCGTTTTAGCTTCTCCATCTGATGTTAATGGAAGGTAAGAGGGAACAGTTGCAATAAGGAAATGGCAGGTACCATGGACTGACCCAGAACGAGAAGCAAGGTGTGAAAGTGATAAAGGAAACGAGACTCTGCAAGGGAAGGAGCTGTGGAAGTGTTTATCAAATGTTACTGGAATGGATCTCAGTAAACCGATACCTCCGCCGAGGCCTTAACGGTCACTTTAGATTGAATCCAGCCGCACACATTCATTCATTGTTTTCTTTAAAGGTTCATTGTGTAGGATTCAGGTGAAAGGGATCTATTGGCTGAAACTGAATATGAAATAATCCCGGTGATGTTTTCACAAGTGTGTTTCAATTTAACTTGTATTAATTGTTTTCTTCACCCCTAGAATGAGCCTTTATATTAAAATACTTTATACTTACATTTACACCTCGCTACATGACTTCACCACTGGATGTCACTAAATTCCACACACTGAGCCTTTAAGGTTTTTCCGTTCAGCATTAAACAAGTTGTCTGGACCCATGCCAACATTTCCTGGGTCCTTTCTTTGGACTTGTCCGATCCTTCCAAGTTTCACGGAAATTATTCTGTAGTTTTTTTTTATTTTTTAATTTATTAATCTTCCTGACAAACCAACAAACCAATGCCTGGCGGAGGTAATGATGCTTTGAGGGAGTAAGAGATGGTCAACATGGCCACATACAGCTCAGTATATCCATTAACAGCAGCGGAGGAGGACAGATTCTCGCTTAACTCCTCCTTTCATTCATAGCGCTCGCTCTGCTTCCTTTTGCCTAAATCTCCTTTAATATATTATAACTATGCAGAGAAATAATGAACTGCTGAATTCCACCAGGTGTCGCTGCACTTACTTAACCATTCAGAGTTGGGCTTCTTTAACTGAACGTGTATATTTTCATACTTGAGGTTGAAGTGTGCAGCATTTTTGGTTCGTTTAATGTCCAGTCTGCCAATAACATTTGGGTGAACTAACCCTTTAACTTATGATTAAAGTCGCCTTATGATTTTATGCCGTTGCTTTTAAATACAGAATGAATGTGGGGGGCGTTTGTGATTTCTTCTTTGTGGGTGTAAGAGAGATTTTCTGTGATTGAAACTGAAAATAAACACAAAACCATTTGTTTAGATTCTCACTCAGTTGCTCCTGTTTATCAATGTTTGTGTTTAACACCCGGTGACACTGTCCGAGGGGAGTCATGCTCATTTTTCATTCACGAGAAAGTATTTCAACTTCTGTGACTTTCAGTTGCGTAATCGAGCCAGCTGATCATTTCTACCATCAGCTGGGCCGCTGACATGTGATGACTTTCAGGAACAACACCGACCCTGTGTGATCCAGCTTCCTGCTCTTTGCGTCCGTTTCCACGCAACCCTATCCCTTTAAGAAAACATTTAAAAGAAGCTGAATTTGAAAAAAAAACATTTTTTTATTATGTTGTAATCCTCGTCACTGTGTTTACACAATGCACCCGACTCAGATGTGAGTCAGAAGTGTTAATAACCAGCCTTCAGTTGTATTATTAGTAATAACGTGTACCTAATAAACTGCAATCAGAGTAATTAGAGCAGATATTCCATAAGTATTCCAAGAATCAAAAAAGGTTTTACTTTGAAAGTCCTGAAGGGAAGTCTGCATGAAGTCCAGCTTGTTTCGTGGTGAGGCGCCGCCCGCAGCTGCTCAGCCCGGGCGGGTGTTTACCGGCCCCGGTGCGTGTCACATGGCTGAATCCGGGTGAAGCGGGTTCACCTCACGCCGGTCCAACAATAAAACCCGAGGCCGGATTCATGTGGAAGCTGAATCATGGAGGAAGAGGAAGAGAAACCCGCAGACACCGTGTGACCGAGTGACCGCTGCCCGCAGGAGGAGCTCACTTCTCCGCGAAGTTTCTCCCAGAACACGACGCTTGTTTACGGGAAAGTTTTTTTTAAAATTTATTTTATTTTTATTTTATAACACGTGGCAGATCCAGGATCCGTGAAGTCAACCCGCGAAACAAGTTTCCAACTCCCGGGTTCTTGTGTCCGGTCCGGTCCGCTGGAGGCCGGGGGACACCGGGGCGTGCAGCCCGAGCTCCCCGAGCCACCCCTCCTGTTTCTCGGCTAAGATCCTCCATGGGTCGACCCTCCTCCTCCTCCTCTTCCTTCTCCTCCTCCTCCTACACCTTCTCCTCCTTCTCCTCCTCCTCCTTCTCCTTCTCCTGCCTGTGTGAAAGATGATCGGGTCACCGGACCTGCTGGCGTTCACCAGCTCCGAGGGCTTCGGGGAAGCGGAGGAGGACCATGGGGCTGCGGGTCCGCCTGAGGAGCTCTCTGTCCCGCTGCTGCCTCCCTCACACCCCTGGAGCTGCTCCGCTCACTTCCACAGAGACTTCATCCTGGTGGCGGAGTTCTCCGAGGAGGTGAGAGGGACAAGTACTTATACTCACAAAAACATCCTCAACGATGTATTTCAATGACATTCTACATCCCCATGTTGTTTTATTACACACATGTAAAGGGTCAGATGGATTAAATGTGAATAAATCTAATAACTTTGACAGTGATTTGGTTAAATAGACCCTTTATATTGAACTTGTGTAATAAAGTCACATGGAAATTGAAGTACACATTGTTTTTCTTCTATATTCTATATTTGGTAGATGTCACACCTCGTTAAGATCTATGAGACCA